ACTTCCCCCTGTTAGCAGCTGCTTAACTTCAGGGTCACAGTACTGGTGCTACAGACAGCCCCTCTGTCATTATTCTGTGAAGGAAAGTGATAGTTAAGATTATATGCTACTAACTTAATTTTATATTTTGCCCAAAAGCCAGCTGGGTTCAGTTTCTGTAAGTTCCCCCTTTCCAGAGGCCTGGAGCATGCAGTAAGAAAGCTCCCCATCCCTGAGCAGCGGAAGCCTGAAAGCAAGCAGGTCAACCTTCTCCTGAGTATTTATTAACTGATTTCATGGAGGATTTAAGGTAGCTCCTGTTTTGTCCAACGAGTGAAAGTTCTTCCCATGTTCCAGGTTTGGGGTACTCATAGGGCAGCAAAGATCTCAGTGTATTGGAAAGCTTTGACTTAAGGGCTGTGCTGTATATAAATTCCTGGTTTGGTCAGATTTATTTCAAAGCTGGTAACTACATGCATGTCTGTATCTTTCTCTGTATCTTTGGAATTGGCACTGGCCTGACTGGATGGGGAAGTGAAGGAGGTAAGTAGATACAAAACTAATCAAGTAAGTGCCAGTGCTGATGCAAGTGAGATGAAGGATATATGGGTTGGGCTAGAATAGAATAGAGGCTACCCTAATTTTCATAGAGGGGACAAAAAATACTACAGTGGTTTTTTTTCCCCACTGGTCTCTTTTGCATAGGCATTAAATGAGTTGAAGTGCAATATTTGAGACAAGATGTTGGGGGAGCAGTTGATATTAATTAATCTAGTAAAGATACACACTTTTGGAAAAAACAGTTTTCAAGCACACAAACCCCACTTCAAGTCACAATGATGTTCAGTGACTTCACTAAAACAGTCCTTGAAGGCACTTTATTTTATGACACTGCTAAGCATACATGAATATTTATTTTTGTGCTTAACACTTGGCAGAGCATTGTTGAGAAGTCATTGTTTGCTCTGCCTGTTTAGCATACAATGGCTTCAAACAAATATGTTGCTGGACTGGAGCAGAGATTTTTTTGTTGCTGTTGTTCTCTCTTGTTCAGGGTGAAGTTGACTGGTTGATAAAGTTCAAACACATCTAAGGAGTGTCTCTTGCATCATATCATTGTCTCTACAAGTCACCAGGGCTTTAGAAAGCAAAAAAAAAAATTAGGAAAATAGTAGTATTTGGGCAGTGAAGATATAAGCTCAGATAAACTGGAATAGCTGGCACTGGTCCAGCATTGTTTACTGTAGCAATCCTCCCTTTTTTGGTGTTGTTTCACAAAGGTCAGTTTGAAGATTTGACTCCTAGCTACGACAAGCAGAGGAGAAATGATTTTTTGAGACTGGGGTGTTTTTTGTTTGGTTGGTTGCGGGGAGGCAGCGGGACAGACATGGGGAAACAACAAGCATAGGAGACAGACTAGTGGGAACAAGAACAGTGTTGTAGATAGTCATCTAGAATTTGAGCTTTTGCTGAGAGGTTGAGAAAACTTCTGGCAAGTCTTGAATGGGAATTAGTCTAGATGATACAAGACTAGTGATTTCAACCGCATCATTTGGGGTAGACACGCTGAGATGGGAAAAAAATGTAATGTGTATTCTCTATCTGTTTTCTTTGAATTGAACATTAATGAGACCCTACTTAATTTTGTCATGCAGTTAAACTCTCTATCTCATAAAAGCTAATACACAGTTTAGAAAAATTTACTATTGCATTGCATTTGGCTACTACTGTTTGCTTCAGTAATAGTATAAATATCATAGAATAGTAGAATAACAGCCTGGGTTCAGGCTCAACAACCCTGAGTTGGAAGGGACCCACAAGAATCATCAAGTCCAACTCCCTGCTCCTCTCAGGACTACCTAAAACTAAACCAGATGACTAAGGGTGTCGTCCAGATGCTCCTTGAACTCTGACAGGCTCGGTGCCATGACCACTTCCCTGGGGAAGCTGTTCCAGTGACCAACCACCCTCTCGGCGAAGAACCTTTTCCTAATGTCCTATCTGAACTTCCCATGATGCAGCTTCATTCCATTTCCTGGCATCCTGTCACTGGTCACCAGACAGAGGAGATCAGCACCTCCTCCTCCGCTGCCCCCCTTGAGGAAGGTGTAGGCTGCGATGAGGTCACCCCTCAGCCTTCTCTTCTCCAAGCTGAACAAACCAAGTATCCTCAGCCACTCCTCGTAAGTCTTGCCCTCGAGGCCTTTCACCATCTTGGTCGCCCTCCTCCACGCACACTGTAATAGTCTGATGTCCTTTTTATATTGAGGTGCCCAAAACTGCACACAGTACTTGAGGTGGAGCCACCCACAGCAGTGCAGCATAGAGTGGGACTATCACCTCCCTGGGAGGGCTGGGAGGGACCTTGAATGATCATCTGGCCCAACCTTTTGTGGGGAAAGAGAGCCTCGATGAGATTATCTAGCACCCTGTTCAATCGCATCTTGAAAACCCTCCAGCAATGGGCACTCTACCCCAACCCTGGGGAGGTTGTTACAATGAATGATTGTTCTCACTGTAAAATAATTTCATTCTTATATTGAGATTAAACCTTTCCTGGTGCAACTTGTACCCATTGCCCCTTGTCCTCTCCACATGGCAACTTGTGAAGAGAGAGCCTCTGTCCTCTTTGTAGGCACCCTTTAAGCGGTAGCTGGAATACTGTGATGAGGTCCTCCCTGAGCCATCTCTTCTCCCTGGAGAAGAGACCTAACTCCTTCAGTCTTTCCTCATAGGGCAGGTTCTCCAGCCCATGGATAATCTTCGTGGCCCTCCTTTGGACCATCTCCAGTCTGTCTGCAGCTTTCTTGATTGGGGGGACCAGAACTGGACACAGTACTCCAGGTGCAGCTGGACAAGTGCTGAGTAGAGTGGGATGATCACGTGTCTATCTCTGCTAGGATGCAGCCTGGGGTCTGATTTGCCTTGGTTGTTGCAGCGGCACACTGCTGACTCACGTTCAGCTTGTGGTCTGCTAGGATCCCAGGCCCCTTTCAGGATATTTTTTCTAAAACTCTGGAGTAAAATCTAGACTACAGTCACAAAGTGTAAAAGTGAGAATTTAAAGTTAGAATGAAGAAATTTATTACTGTACATGCAACTTAAAGTTTATTTTTACCGTTCAGTGTCTTTCACTCTGCTTCATTTCATGCCACTGTGTGTTTCTAATGTATCTACTCAACTTGAAGCTAACAGGAGATAGGCATTTCCCAGTATTCTGGGTAAGGCTACATGGGTAATGAATGTGCCCTGCCAAAGACAGTGTGTCATCTGCTGTCATGACAGGATGTCATCTGCTGAGGTGGATATCTCACATGAAGACCCATTATTTTGTCAAAATGTATTAGCTAAAAGATATTTCTTTTTGGAGCTTTTTCTTCTGAAATGTTGATACTGCCATTGAATAAATTTCACACTTTGTAAGTTAAAGGTGAAAATTAATGGCTTGGTCAGAGTGTGCACACTGCTGTTACAGGCAGTCTAAATAAATAGGCTACATAGCTATCATTCCAAAAAGATTATTCAGGAGATTTAATTTAAAAAATTCTTTCGGCCACTCTTACACTGTTTCTTAGTATGAGTTAAATAATTTTCTTAAAAAAATTTGGAGTTGGATAATTGAGAAAAAAAATGGTTAAAACAAACTTTTCTTAACTTTTGCTTCTGAATACAGTCAGGAATTTTCTATAAAAAGCTTTTCTTCTGTTTGATAACTGTGGGTTTGTAAGTCCACAGGGTGTACTACTTTTAATACACATAAAAAGACTGTTTACAGTGCAAGGATGGGGAGCTGGTGTGGGCACTCAGAACTACCTGGATTCTGTACCCAGCCCTCAGACAGACTCTTTTGGGACCGAACCACCGTGCTTTCTAGAAAATTTGGACATCACTGAGGTGGAGACAGATTGTGAAGCTCAAGTCCTTATGGTTCCTTAGGCAACTGGAGATCTCAGTTGTACACTGAATATCTGGGGAACCACAATGAATCTATGAAGTCTTCCAGAAAAGCTTTTAACTACTTTTCTCTTTAAAAGTTTGTAATTTCCAATGCTGGAACCCTTGGAAACCTTAAAATGAGTATTCAACCACTCTCCAACCAGACATGGAAACAGAGCACAGCTTAACAGCTTCAGTCAGTGTTTGTTTTTTGGTTGGCTTTTTTTTGTAATTCAATTTGCTAGAGATGTGACAGAATTTCCAACAGCATAATGAATAAAATTGCGTACTTAATGATTATAATGATAATTTCTTTAGTGAGTTTCACTGCCTCCCTGCAGTGGAAATACTGAATAGAGAAGACTTGCATGATTTCAAGAATGGCTAAATGCCAAGTATGCAAACCTCTGCCACAGCAGTGGTGGATTTTTAGTAATTTAATGCTATTTCTTTGCTTTCCTTCTCCTCTCTTCTGTTTTCCCTCTATCACTTGTAGAACTGGGAAAGATCCATCAGACTACTAGTTGGAAGATGATGAGAAAAAATACAGCTGAGAATTACTATGTTTGATTTTTATTTTTGTCTGCAAAATTAAAGTTTATTTCTAAGCTTCTGTCTGGGAAATTCAGTCTTGGTGGCAATAATTTGTGTAGGCAACTGGCAAGGTAGTATATGTGCAAATTAGAAATGCGGTGTTAGGCATTCAGACAATAATGGAGGTTTCTCTTGGCACCCTCTGTTAAAGAGAAGATAAGGTAACCGTGAAGGTAGTGCTGTTGAAAAAGTACTAAGCCATCGCTGTTTGTTCATTAGCCTCTGGCTAGGATGTAATCTTAGCTGAAGAGCAGTGCAAGCCAGTCCTGAAAAATTTGATTCCAGGAGAACAGATTCCTGTTCCCAAAGATGAGTAAATGTCTCTTTGAATGAAGTTCTCTGTGCAAGCCTTGGTAGGTTTGTGATTGGTCACCCCATTAGGGGAGGCCTTTGATACAGTTAGTTTGTGGTTTAGCAGGGGCTTCTCCTTGTTCAAAAAATATTTTCTGGAGCTGAGACCCACCAAGTAACAGACTGAACTTGTTTTGCAGGCATCTTTCCCGGGAAACCTGCAACTAGTCCTCGTTCTGCGCCCAACAGGATTTTTTCATCGAGCTCTCTCGGACATTGCTTTCAAGTTCAACAAAGATGAGTTTAAAATGAAAGTACCTGTAAGTAATCCTTTGTTTTCACTTTATTATCAGGGATCTGTTAAAGTACTTAGCCTAGCCAGCAAGGACAAAAAAGAAGAACCAAACCCCACCAATACCACCCCTAACCACCACCACCACCACCCCCCAGAAAGTTCTCTGTATGCCCAAAACCTTCAGCCCCCCCCCCCCCCAAAAAAAAAAAACAAACCCCAAACCCAACAAAAAAGCCCATTCTTAAAGGTAGTTCTTGAATCTTGAATGAAAGGTTCCTCTTAGAAAATAGCCATGTATGGTTTATCAAGATAAAAAACCCCAATGGAGTAATTTATGTTGTATAATTCATAAGCTTTATTTTAATACGTAGTTAACTGTGGTGCACATGCTTATTTGCTGTTACTTGAATTTACATCATCTTCAAATGAAACAACTGTTACATTTGTTTATTCTATACCCAAAGGAAATAGTTCCATCACTTGCTTCGGTATTAAACTGAAATTTCTCTATCAGAGGCTGAAAGATGGGGCTTAGAATCCTTAAGGGACTTCTCACCACTGTTTGCATTCACTTTTTTTCATTGCTGCTGCAGATCATAATGCTGGGCTCAGTATCGGAACTGCAGGGTTACATTGATAAAACACAATTAACAGAAGATCTTGGTGGCACCCTGGATTACTGCCATAACAGATGGCTGTCCCGTCGCACTGTAAGTCTAAGTTTTTATTTTAACTTTTCAGCTTAACGAACCCTTCTGTTTTATACCCTGTCATTTATAAAACGGATTCAAAGTGATGCAAGTTGACTTGCTCGGAGTGAGAAGATGTTCCCAATGGTACTTAGTCATCTTAGAGAAAAAAAAATGAGTAATAATTTGGGAGTGGTTTTCTGAACACTTGGAGCAAAGGAACTACAGTGTATTATTGTGTTGAGGTTTATTGGTTTTGCTACAAGAAAGAAAAAGCTCAAGTTGTAGAATAACTCCAGATTATAAAAATATGAGGAAGATATACCTGATACAAGCCTAGGAAAAACATACAATTAAGGAATTAATGGTGACGGTATCTGTTGCTTGCAAAATTATACTTTGACCATTTTTCAGTCTCGTAATTCATCTGCTCGGGTTTGTTTTGAGAGTTATATTTTGTGTGTGTGTGTCTGTTTGTACGTATGCATGTGATGAGCATGAAACATCATTAATGTGTTTTATTCCAAAAGGCTATAGAAGGTTTCGCCCAAAAGGTTAAGCAAACAGCTCAGATTCTTCAGTCCTTTGGGACTGAGCTGGCTGAAACAGAACTACCAAATGATGTGCAATCAACCAGCTCCCTTCTTGCAACACACACAGAAAAGAAGGACAAAATGAAGGTATGTAACTTCTGTAAAGATGCTATCTTCTAGTTAAACTGTGTTTTAATTTATAGCTAATAATGTTAATGGAAAATCTGGAGGATGTTAATAGACAATAATAATGTGAAACATTGAAATCTTACTGAACTTGTTTTGCTTAGTTTGATGTTAAAATGCTTTTTGCATTCAAAAATGACAATTCTTGAGGCTAAGTTTACTAATGTACAAAATGCATAATGATTTGTATGTGGAAACAGAAATTCCTTTATACATAGTGGTGTGTTTAATTTTTTGTTTGCAACAAGAAATTTGATTGTATTTGCATGCATATGAAAATATATGACCTTTTGAAGAATGGACAAATGTTCTTTCAAACTGGCTTAAATTAAAACTATGTGGGGTTTCAAAACTATACGTCTAAAACTTTTGAGATATTTGTAGCCGAAGACACTAGAAGGCTATCTATCATGAAAATTCAACTCAGTTACACTGGGATCTTAAGATGGTAAACATAGAAAGAGCTGACATTTAGCATTTACTGTCTGTATTTGTTGTCAAACACTGCTTTTAATTGAACTGTGCTTGCTCTATTGCTATTAAAAGAAAATCCTCAGTTTGGTGCCTTATGAAGTCTGCTTAAAAAAAAAAAACACCACCACAAAACTACAGTGTGTGGTTTATTTGTTTTGTTTTGTAGGAGGATATCAGGTTAGCAGTAGAACAGGGAGATGATATCCTTGGAAGTATTACAAAACCAGTTACTGAGAATCCTGAATACAAACTGAATCAAGATCAGCTAGACAATCAAACAACAGTAGAAAGGTGAGAGGAGCAAAATACTGAACATTTCTGTTTTTTGACCCCTCCCCAGCTCTTTTACTTAATTACATATGCATGCGTAGCAAATAAGCAAATGTTACAATGTGAACATCTGAAAGGTACTTTCAGAAACAACTCCTCTGTTGTCAGATCTGTCCTGAGCAAAGTAGTCCCCTGATGTTCGTTACTGGGTTGCCTGGATGTAAGGTAATAGGAGATGCGGTTTGAGTTCCAGTACCAACAAAGTAACGCTGTTTTTTTGGTTTGGGGTTCCCCCCCCCCCTTTCTGTCAGATTTGGATTATGTAGTTGAGCAGGTTTTACTTATTTTAAAGATATCAATGCTTTGTTTAGAAACCGAACGGCAATCCAAGGAAATTTCACTGCTGTAGGGAAAGCAGGAGGGGAAGACAGAAGTGGTATATCGATTCTTTTCAGTAGATTTGTCCACTTTCATTAAGCCCTTTTGAATTGAAGTGGGAGGTTTCTTTTTCTTTAAACCTGTCTGAAGGAGCTTCTAACGTTGCTGATATCTTAGCAATGTCATTAGTGGCCTTTAAAGGGCTGCTAGGGAGTACACCGCTCTTGAAGTGTCTATGCACAAACTTCCTATATGCTTCCTTTGGGCATACGAGTAATAGATGTTGTTTTCCTTTGCTCCCCACCTCCCTCAAATTACTGCCAGTTTTCAAGACATGATATCACCATAGCACAGATGTAAATTTGCACAAAGCTATGAAAGCATAGCTCATTTCCCCGAGGCAGTATTCTGCATTCTTTTTTTGTCTGTCATTCCATGTTTCTGTTACACTCGGGCTGACTTTTCTTTCCAAATAACTGTCCGTTCCAATCCACAAAGCTTGGCAGAAGTCACTTTTTTTAGTTGTTGTTGCTATCAGCTATACGAAGGGCAATCGGGGTGGGGGTTACTAATTTATCCAAAATGTTCCCACTCAATACAATATCTGACGGAAGCTGGAACAAACTGTGTGTACGTGTGTGTCCCCACCTTTTTTCTAATCAGTTTTAACTTGTAAATTCAAGGTTCGTTTCTCTGCTATTAAAGACAAAAATTCATTAAAATTCTTATGTATGGCCTTCCCTGGATATAGCCTAAGTACAGCAAAGCACACTGTAAAGATAAGTCCACAGGATTCCATACTGTCAAATGCAATGTTGGAAGACAAGTTGAAAAGTAAAAGCCTTAAGGCATTGGCCAAAACTATAATTGGAGAAGATTCTTTTAATCGCAGTACTGCTGTACACTTGCCTGTGATATTTAAGTAGTAATTCCGCTCAGAAGAGGAGGAGCAATGACCTTCAGGTTTATTATGAGCCTTGCTCCAAGGAATAAAACGTAAGGGCAGCTGGCTGGTCACAGCAGTACGAATTTTTGCCTTCATTTTTCCTTATCGCCCAAGGCTTGGGTTCCTCTGGGTCCTAGCCCACACATGTTTTTATGTTTGCTAGCCCCAAGTCGCCATGTCCCCAGGCCAGAGCTGAGAAGTAGTATGTGCAGCAGCTAGCTTCAAATCAGCACTTGCCAATTTTTCAGAACTTAATGTTTGTGCTGGGTTTCAGTTTTACGTCAGTGTTATTCTAGGAAACAATTCTGTGCAATACTCAAAAAGTTTCCTGTATCCAGTTTATTTTTTCTGGAAAATATTGCTTTGGGGAGGCTTTTTGTTTACTGTGGAAGATTGTATTGTCCCTTGAAGGTTGCACCCATCATTCTTACAGTATTTCTTTTTTTTTTTTTTTTTTTAAAGGCTTCTGGCTCAGTTACATCAAACGGAGACTGCCTTTGATGAGTTTTGGATTAAGCATCAGCAAAAACTTGAGCAGTGTCTGCACCTCCGGAATTTTGAACAGAATTTTAGAGAGGTGAGAACTTCTTGGTGGCAGTCAATATTTGATAATATAAAAATGATTCAGAAGAAAATACTTCCCCCTCTTATTTTTGCAGCTCTTGTGTGTGCTTGAAAGCTTTCTCCAACCTTTTTCTTGTACGTGTCCTTACTTGACATCCTGCTATCTTTACTACCTTGAATACTTGCCTATAGAGACATAATAGCTTCTCTTCTGCAGTCTTACAATTTTTTTTTTTAACATGGGCCCAGCAGTATGTAAGCATTCAAAAACTCCTTTGAAACCTGTTCTCCACCACAGAAGCATAATATGCTGGCTGCAAAACTTTCATCTTGCCAATAGGCCCTTTTATGGAACCAAGACTTACCTAAAGGTTCTGGCTGAAATTTCTTAAAACAGTCTCCAACGCTGTGGGTGGGAAGTTGCAACCACAACGTTAGAAGCTGGGTGGAGGCTGAACTAAAATTTTTACAGCCAGTTTCTGATCTCATGTTAGTTTAACTCATATGCTTGATGGTACCTACAGTCACTGTATGCTGGTGTAGCTGATCTCAGAGCACGGCCCCTGTGTCTCCATGGGAGCTACGCTCGGAAACCCTCTTACAAGTGTGTGTGTCTGTCTGCCTGTCTCTCAACCAATTGTTAGTGTGAGGACCTCTCCCACACATTTTGCTGTTTATGTTAATGTTGCTTTTTATTATTGTCATCTGGTAAAAGCAAGATCATAAACGTTTCCTGAGCATTAGTTTTCCTGCATTTTTTTTTTCAGTACCAGGAAATAGGATTACTTCACTGCCTTTTCTTTGTATTTGTTTTCATTTGAATTAGGGGTAAAGGTAAGCTGACAAAAGAGTGATTTGTCTCTGTGTCCCAGTAACCCCATAGTGTGGGTCACCTGACTGGAAATAGTGGCTATCAGCTATTTAACTGATGGGTTTCCAGAGAGGTGGAATCATCTTCATTGATACATAGCTGTGTCTCATTTCAGGTCAAAGCAGCTTTGGATATTGTGTCTGAGAGACTGTCTGCTTTCACAGATGTGGGAAACAGCTGTTCGCATGTGGAGCACATTTTGAAAGATCTTGCCAACTTTGAAGAAAAATCACGTGTAAGAACTCTGCAAGTCTCCTTAATTTTTAGCGTGACAATGCATGTATGGAGGGGAACAGCATTTGATTATTGAGTGTATTTTATGAGCAGAGCTTAAGCTGACAACAGTGCAGAATCAGTGTCTCAAGTAATATGCAGAAGGAATTTGGAATAAAGTCTTTAACTGTTGGAGCAGCCCAGTTCTTGGGCATCCCTGAATAAAGAGCAGGGTGACCAGCCACAGTCGGTGTGATTGGTTCATGGAAGAATTGCATGAAGTGTCTACATAGCCAAGTTCTGCTCTTAGTCATGAAGAGGCCACTTCCATTCCTATTAAAGCCACTTACTTCATTAAATCGCAGAAATTAAAAAGCTGTGTATTGAATGTACAATAGGTTAAAAGATGACCAACATAAACGTACACTCTGAACAAAGTAGGAAAGGAACCTTATTATGATCTGTGCTTCACAATAAAATATATAGCTCTATAAGCGAGGCTGTTGCTCTTGAGGCTGAGGTGCCAGAGTTGGGTATTTTTTAATTTGGGTTCAGATTGCAGCTGTATTTCAAATTGCATACGTACGCACACAAGCATGCTGCTGAATAACTAAGGCGTATAAAGACAATAGTGGTTCCTTTACAGGGAGACATACGATTAAACTCATTAATGCTTCTGAAGTACTCTGATACAATAAAGGAGGAGGCATAAAAGTTCTTGGGCATCTGGGAAGACAGGAAATCACTTTGATTTATGAAGCAAGGCAGCTGTTAACTGAAGATGTATATCAACATGTGTATTTTACTGTATAAAAACAAATGGTATCATTTTTAATTTTTTTCATTGATGTTGATCCAAGGAAAGATGTACCTAAATTAATGCTTGCTTTCTTAGGAAACTATAGCAAAAGCCAGAATGCTAGCCTCAGAGGGTGATGCTTTTATTCAAAGCAATCATTATGCTGTGGACTCCATTATTCCAAAATGTAGTGAACTTCATCATCTCTGTGATGCCTTCACTACTGAGACAGAACGGAGGAGGAATCTTCTTAACAAATCCCTAGAACTTCATGGCTTACTAGAAAAGGTAAATTTTGTACGGAACAGTTCTGTTTCCCATCTTATTTGCTAAAACCTCAGTCAACCAGCTGTCATAACAGCAGGTAAAAATATCTGGGTGTGCTGGAAGTTTTCTCCTTAAATAGCTGAATACGTCACAAGTAGAGGTATGAAATGTTTTAGACCTCTTAGTGTTTGATGATGACATTGGTGCATTCTAAGCCTGTTCTTTTCTCTGTTTCTAGTCTATGAAGTGGTGCGATGAAGGAATTTATCTGCTGGCTTCACAGCCGGTAGATAAGTGTCAGTCTCAGGATGGTGCAGAATCAGCATTACAGGAGATTGAGAAATTCCTGGACACTGGTGCAGGCAATAAAATCAAGGAATTGAATAAAATTTACAGAGAGTATGCACACATCCTAAATGAGGATTTAAAGGTACCAGAAGACATTTATGTGTATCTATGTGTCTATTTGTTAATTCTAGAATTGCTCTCTTGCATGGCCATTGATAAAGCTAAATTATCAGTACTAGGAGTTATACCTGGGAACTGGAAAACCAACACATTTCCCTACCTGAGGTGCTAGTCCTGTCATATATTTGGATAAGCATCAAGGGCTTCAGAGCCTTTTAATAACTACTTCAATTTTTCAGATAGTAGGATTGCTTTAAAAAAAAAAAAAAAAAATCTCCCAAGTGAGTATTTGAAATATCTTTATGTAGCAAAAACGTGCCTGTCCTTGATATTTGTATGACTTCTGCTTTGTAACCGCTTTTTTTTAGAACTTGAGAATATGTCACTTTTCCTCTTGGTTGATCTCTTCATGTAACAGAACCATCAGATACTGTGAAGAAAACTTTTCCCTATTTTTTTTTTTTTAAATTGAAACCTGAACCCCATTGGTTTCTCTACAGCAAGCACACGAAATGTTTTATGAAGTGATGTTCCAATTTTTAAATGTACTAAATGACTGTAAATTATGCCTTGTTAGGAGTGAAGAGTAGGGTAATATTTTTATATGTGGTATAAAAGCCATCGCAATTTCAAATCAATGTGCTATAAATGGCAGTGTAGCTTGTTGATAGGTCTCTGACAGGGATTTTTTTTTTTTTTTTTTTAAATTTCTGTGGCAACGGTAGGAGCATGTGCAAAAGGTTTTCCAGAAGCAAGAAAGTATGGAAGAAATGTTTCAAAAGAGACAAGTAAGTCTTAAGAAACTGGCAGCTAAGCAGACACGTCCCGTTCAGCCCGTTGCACCAAGACCTGAAGCCTTTGTAAAATCTCCTTGTACCTCTCCAGGTAAGTAACTGTAGTAGCCTTTAACTAATTTTTCACACTATGCTGAGAAGCTTAGAAAGTTTCAGCTGTAATTTGTGGTTGCACAAACATCTGTGTCAGATCTGCTCAAGTTCTAACTGCTGTTTGATTCTGGTTTATGTGCTTAGGTCTTCAAAGAGAATATGTATCCAACTCAGAAAGCAGTGCTCTTCGGAAGGTAAACTACAGAAGAGGAAAGGTAATATTTTTTTTCTTTGCGCTTTTCATGCACGTACTGCTTAAGAAAATCATAATACAATGGAATATTCAGGAACTTCAAGAAGAATGAGGCAATTCCACTGGAAAAGTGATGGTATTGCCCCTATCAAAGTAACTCTGGTGCAGCACTCGTGATTTAAATAGAGGCTGCTTTGTCACTGGGCTGGGTATGAGGGAAGGTAAAGTAAATAGTTGCCTATATTAAGAAAAATGTTAGGGGCAGCAAAATATAAAACCTATGAACAGGAAATATTTATTATTTGCCAGTAGTAATTGGCTACTCTTAAAACTGGAGAAGTGAAGAGGTAGTTGTCGTTGGCTCCAAGACAGCTTCACCTGACCTAATGGGTTGCCATTCCCAAGTGGGGATGGTCTTCCTGCCCTGCCTCTGGCAAGGAAAGTAACCTGACAGCAGCAACAGAAACAAGTAGTTTCCCACTGGGTTAGAGAGTTTAATCAACTCGGGAAAGGTTCAGCAAGAGACAATGCAAGGAGGAAGGCAGGACCACATGACCAGTAGGGACAACAGTTGGAGAAAAGGGTTGGTTCAAGGGGGGATTGAAAGCAGAACCTCTCATTTCTTTCAGCAAGCCGTAATTAGGTCAGCCATTACAGTAGAAGTTGCAAGAGTGAACTTCTGTGTCAAATCAGGAAGTTAACCAGAAAGTTAGCACAGTACTTCATTTTTTAGCTTGGAAAACAGAGTAAGGCCAGTGTTGCCTCCAAGATGCTGATGCTCTGATGTTGCCTTCCTGGAAAGGGGCCTCATACCATGGTCTTTTCTAAGCTGGCCTTTGGAGAACTCCGTGTGTCTAAATGTTCTTGTGTGCTTCAGGACCTTCAGGTTGACTTACTTTTTTTTTTGCTGCATTCTTGCAAATTGCCTTCATTTTTAATGGAGTACAGGCTTTCCTGTGAAAACGCATGCAAGTAGAGCTGAGCGCAAAGCTCTCACTTTAAAGTGTTTTTTCCCCCATCTGTGATGCCATGATGACTTTTTTTTTTGTTGGTTGGTTGTTTCCTTCTTTAGAGTGAAATGACTGAGCTCCATCAAAGCAGAGGAGGATCTACAATGGATGATGAAGAAAACCTAGCTGTGTTACGACAGTAAGTATATTTTGATAAACAAAAAATGCTTTTTCTCCGATTTGGTTCCAGCAAAGGCTGAGTTTGGCTAAGGATTTGATAAGACAGTTCTCTGAATTAAGCCTCAGTGCTTTTTGAAATGCATGGGCTATGCTCTGTACACAGAGGAAGAAGATATTTCAATCTGTCTGCAGCATTATTTATAGTTCATATAGTACCAGACTCTAGCTTTGCTGCAGTGAGGTGATGCTATGGCAGGATAACTACATACTTTTGTCTCAGAGATGACATAGTTTTGAGTAATAAGCCTCCTGTAAATCTATCAGAGGTTTTGGTCTCCATGCTTCGGAAGACTTTGTCTTTCTATTTGACTCATTTTAGTCCTTGTTTTGATAAATGTTACAAAAAATCACTTTCTTATGTAAAAACTAAAGAGCATCACTTCTATTCAAAAAAGAACTTAGTACCACCTGCAATGCGTATAGCAGAGCTTGCATTTCTAGCTGTAAACTGAATACTACTACTGTCTTCTCACTGTTATAACCATGTGTTAAATCATACAAAATCACAAGAGGGAGGGGGCTGGGAGGGAAGCATGCTTGCTTGACCATTAGGGGCGTTAAAGTTAAAGGAGCACTGTGATATTTAAAGTGTGCCCTAAATGCATCTAATTTAAAATGACTGGTGTGACTTCAAGTCTGTATTTGATAATCCTATGCAGCTCTAACTCCAGCTCATGTAATACTTGCAAACACAGCATAATCAGATTTTGTATGTACAATGATAAAATGCTTCACTGCTTCAGTTACTACGGCACTTAAAATGCTAGATTTTACTTTTTTTCTGTTTAAACACATTTTCAAAAATTTAAAAAAGTTTTAAAAATACATGCTTCTCAGTAAGCATATATAAACTGTTGACAGAAATATCCATGAAACATCACATTTTTCCAACCTGGAAATTGTTCTTTTATTGTCTGAAGTAAAGTAGAAACACAAAGTTAATGTTGCCTCTTTACTTTGCATAAGTGAATAGGTGTGTCTTAATTGTCATTCTTTGTCTACAGGCATGTAATTAATGAACTTATTGAGACTGAACGAGCATATGTGGAAGAACTTCTCTGTGTTCTTGAGGTAAAGATTAAAATTCACTGCAACTGTTAGTGAATCTATTTATCCCTTCCATTTCACGGATGCTCTTATGCTTTCCTTATCACTGTAATGCCTCAGCTTGTCCCGTCCAGCAGTGTGGTCATTCTATCTCTCCTCTCTCATTGTATTTTCACAGAGGCAGGAATGTGCAATTTTTTTCTAGAAATATTCACGCAAATAGGATTTTGTATTAGAAAACACAAATTGGGCAGAAAATACGACGTGCCTAACTGTAGGTGGAACATAGTGAGATCTGTAATGATCATTCATTCCTGCAAAAGTTCGTTCCAGAGTCTTGGGTCAACTCCAGGAACGTCGTGCATCGCACAAGAATGTGAATCTGCATCGAGAGAATCTTGTGTCAGAGGAGAAAATTTGCTTCTTGCATCCCTCTTTGCATATCTTGAAGTGATATTCCAAATGTCTTGGGTACAACTGTGGCAACAGAGTGCCTTGTAATAGTAAATATCTTCATTTGAAGTTGTAAGGGAAACAAAGGTGTTCCCTTTGCTCCACACTTGTGGAGGCACAATTGTAGTACTACTGAGTTGCTTGCAGAAATATGCTGCAGTATTGTGTGGTGTTCGTCAAGTTTAAGTCTTCAGACATGGATGTGTCATCTTGTTGTAGTCCAGTTTGACTGTAGGAGACAATGAAGTTGCAGATAACTGAGGCTGAATGGTTGAATTCTCTTAATCAGGATGAACTCAAATTGAGCCAGGTGGCTACTCTTGGTGTCCATGCCAATGTTAAGCTCCTAAATAGGAGCTGTCTTAAGTTATGGACTGGGAGTGATAATTTCTGAGTACATACCTTCAAGTAAGAGTACTGTATGAGGGTTTTGAACTCTGGTCTTGCTTTTGCCTCATTTGTGCTGAGTTTCCCATAGCATTTATGTCCTGGGTCTGGTCCAAGTGCTAGAAAGTGTTGATGACAGTAGGATGGTCACATCTGATGTGTTGTAATAAAGCAAGGTAGGTCTGGAGCGGACCTTAAGGATCACTTCATTCTCTGCTTTTGTATGCAACGTTATCTGTACAGTTCTGTTCATAAAATCAAGACTCAAATAGTTGGAGGATTTTTGGTCCTTACTGCTGCTACTGGAGGGTTGTTGCAGAATCTTTCTATTCTTCTATTACTTTTGTTTTGCGTAGAGTATAGTGCAACCCTTGTCTTGCTAGGCCAAGCTGTCTTGGTTTTCTGCCAATGTGATAGACTTTCCAGTACTCTGACCGTGCCAGGCACGCTTCTCTGTGCCTCCTTGCAGTTTGGGATTCATCTCTTGAACTTGGGTGACTGAGACTGCCAACAGTAATTCTGCATCAGATCCTTGCTGAGGTATGGCTCAATGGCAGTCTTCCAGCTTTTGAGTAATTGTAGTTCTGGCTATTCTCCCAATTCCCTTTGTTTCTCTGTTCTGTTAATCTTCCCATTTCTCCTGTAAAATAACCTGATACTCCTTTGTATGGACAGTGTCTCCTATTATTATGTCATATTTATTTGCCATGCATTTTCTCTCTGCCAAGGATTCCGATAGAAAAAAACAAGGTAGTTCCCAGGATTGATTAGTGGGAAACTGCTATAGCTGCTTCTATCTGAGCTCGATAGTTTTCTTTTCATTAATAACCATGGTAATCCCACTTTAGTCTGTAAAATCCAGTAATTTTTATTGGGGAAAAATATTGGTCTAGTCTATTTTTAGGTATTGTATTTGACTTCTTTTTCTATTTACTTCGATGTTTTAGAACAGCTTTCAAATGGAAGACTAAGCAAAGCCTTATATATTCTTAAAGTGAGATTAAGTGATGCCTTTGCGTGGGGTGGCTTTCCCTCTCCTTTCTTAAAACACAAGTACTGCATAGGTAGTAAAACATGAAGGTTTATATATTAGTTTTTTAATGTAAGTACTGCAACAGCCTG